AAATGTGTAAAGGTTAGCAAATGTCCTTTGAACAGTTTCTCCGCCACCACTTTTGTGGTTTGTTTGTTTTGCATGACATTGGTACAATTAGCCAGGAAGTCTATGGTGCTGATGCAAAGTAGTCTGGCGGCTTAAGATTACTAGCTCTTCAGTTCACGCTAGTGCTTTATCCATGGTGCACCACAGGAGGCAAGCCAGCTTTGCACACATAGCAGCTAGTGCTGGTCTGCAAGAATGTGTCATCTGGACTCTCTCCACCGCTGCCGCTGCAGGTTCAATGCTGCAGGTCTGACGCGGGTCTTGTCCTCACAGGGTTCCATGCAAGTCACTAGCTCCCCACCAAGGTGGGTACCCATTTATCTACTCATACTTTTACATACTTTCAAACGGCTGGGTAGGCAGAAACTGAGACAAGGCAATAGGAGCTCACCCCACCGTGTGCATTCAAACTGCCAGCTTTCCGATCGGCAAGTTAGAGGCTCAGCGGTTTAACTCACAACACCACCTTGCATCCCTTTAACCTTGTAGTGCTGTAATGATTCAGGACCCAGTATATACAATAAATGAAGGCCAATCACATTTTAGAAGGCATACATATGTGTAGTTGACACATATATGCTCATGAGCAGTGTGGTGAACAAAGTATAGTGTGAATGAACGAAATGTGTCAATAAATATGCAGTAAGCACACCAGGGCAAGAATTCTTTAAACCATACTTTATCCTGGTCATAATGTTCGTAAGTGGAGCTGAGTTACTTTTGATGTTCCCTAACTGAAAGGCTACTAAATATGAAGATGGATCTATCTCTACCCTTCTTGCTTTTGGTAGTCAGCAAACTGCTGCTCTTCCTTCCCTTGTGGTTTACAAGGAAGCTTCCCAATGCTTTTCTGGATCACAGCAATGGTCCATCTAGTACAGACCTGGGCATTGTATGGCCCACGGGCCACATCCGGCCCAATGGCTGACCCTGACTGGCCTGCATGAGGTCACTGGCAAATTAAAAGTCAATGCAAATATATATCGTCATAATATAGATGCAAGCAATACAACTGCACTGCTTTTATTTTGAAGGATCTGCTAAATTGAATTGAATTTATTGCTTTTCGTGTAATGTTAATATTAATGTTTTTGTGAATATTCATTAAATAGTGTTGTTCTGTGCTCCACATTTTCATTGTATCATTGTAATGTTTCATTTACTGTTTTTATAGAGATATATATTGAGCAGAGCTGTAAGTGTATTGGTCCGGCCATTAACAACTGTCAAAGTTTCTCATGTGGCCCCATAGGAAAATTAATTGCCCACCCCTGATCTAGTATAACATACTGTTTCTAACCATAACCAGCCAAATTCCCCAAGGGGGCTCACAGGGGCAGTTGGTATCTCAGTTAAGTGGTCCCTGCTGTCTGATCCCTCTCCTCTGCTGCAGTCAGGTGAAAATATGAAATAGAATACTACAACCATTATGCTATCTGCCTAAGAACTTCCGGAACTCCCCACAGGGTAATAAATGGAAGCACAAATTGAAAAGACAACCTGCTAGAAAAAGACTGATTCGATGCCACCTACTACAGCATTTCCCAAACCTGTCACACATGAATTTTAATTAGAGGCAATCTTCACATTGAAAGAAGGAAAGAATTACACACCTTCAGTGGAAGATATATCCAAGTTTAAGGCACAGCAGCAAGGCCTTGCTGTAACACACACTTAAGTAAGGTTCTTTTCCCAGCTATCAATTAAGCTTGTCCCCAGAGTGTTTTAGGAGTACGTGGTACAGACCTAAACTGAAGGCAACAAACCTGGAACAGTGATTCATGTAGCAACAGTCCAAACAACCTCTTTCAGAAGGTAAATAATGGTATTGCACTGCCACAAAGCCAGGTTGCTTACCTGTAGCGGTCGTTTGACTGGTCAACTGTGTATTCACACATATGTGCTCTGCACCTGTGTGGAGACTGTTGTGGGGAAGCTTCTATAGTAAAGTGTTCATTTGGCCAGGAGTTCCACCCCTTCGCGTCCCAGGTTACGTTGGGGGGGGGCTCCCACTCATTCCCTCAGTTCCATTGAGACTGAGATAGATCCCAGAACCAGGAAGGAGAGTTGTTCTGTTCCAGTCTGGCTCCCGTGGGCCTTGGAAAGCAGGGCAGCAATCCTCAGAGGGATGACACCAAGAGGGACCAGTGGGTGGGTTGTGTGAATGCACAGATGACCACTTGAAGAATGACAGTTATGGGTAAGTAACCTGACTTTCATCACACATATGAGCAACTGGCAAGCTTACCTCAAAAAGAATGGAGGGATGGTGTTAACACTGGAGGACCAAGGATAGGTCTGTTCTGCAGTGGAAAGAAGGTGGAAGCTCATGAGTCACACTGTTGACCTGGCTTTTTTGAGGGAGTCCATCTTTTCATCTGTCTACACATTGAAGAGGCCCTCCCTATCAAAGGGGAGGTCCTCAATGCAGGAACGAGTCTCTTGTGGAAGTTCCACTGAACACAGCCAGGCATGTTGACAGATGGCCACAGCACCCATCATGGACTTGGCATCCCAGTTCACATGGTAGCATGCTGGGTGATGTGTTGGTGGGCCAAATTGAAGGCTTTCTTCTGGAACACTCTGGCCAGATCTCTGTAATCATTAGGAAGGTGTTCACACCTCACCCCAAACTTGTCCCAAAAGAACAGCTGATATCAGGCCATGGAGGCATCATAATTAGAGGCCTAGAGGCCAAGCACTGAGGCTTCATGGATTTGTCATGCCATCCCATCCAGGTGGCAGCCCATCTGGTGGACTTATGCTGTGTGCTCCCACTGCGACTTCCTTGTGTGGATTGTAGTAGGAGTGAGTTGGGTTTGGGCTGTTGGAAAAGGAATGGGACATCCTTCTCCATCACCCAGTTCATAGTTTCTAGTGGAGTGTGCCATCCATGGAGAGAGCTTTCCATGTCTGCCTGATGGTCTGCAGCAGGGCAGTGTTGTGAGCTGAGTTTTCCCTCTAGCAGTAACAGTCTCACCAGAGCTTCTTTATTTTACATGTAAATCTCTGAACATACATAAAAGTGAAATGCTGAACCCTCCCTAGCCTCTTCACCAAAAGCTTTGCTTATGAATCCTTCTGCGTCTGTCCCTGGGGAAAGGACTGCTGTGGAACCAGGTACATCTTCACTCCTCCCTCTGAGATCCCAGCTGGGCCACTCTACGACTGTGATGATGGACTACTGGGTCCACCTCCTAAGGAGGCTGGAGTTCTCCATCCAAATGACTCCACATCTCTAAATACTCCCATCAGGGTGTTGCTGCTCTTCCTAGTTCCCACGGGTGGGTTAAATAGGCCCCTCGGCTGCCTTTGAACTAATCTCTTCCCTAGCAGGCACAGGTGGGACTGCAAATGCAGCTGAATCTGTATCAACAATCATCTTGTTATCAGAGCTGTCAGACTGCTGGGATAGGTCACCTCCCCTACACACATCCCATTCTCAGAATCTGAATTTAGGGGTGCAATTGATGAATTCATGAACACACACCTGCAGTTCTCTTGCAGAACACTACTTGCAGAACACTACTATGACTGGGCACACATTTTGGAAATTATTCAAGTATTTGGGTTATTTAAAGTATTTTTTAAATAATACTTTCATCCTCGCTGATGCCAAAGCACATGATGGCTTGGAGACAAAGCTATAGATTCTTTGTTCTTGCAGCTGACTGAAATTCTTCTCAGAGTTAGGAAAGATCTGGGAAGTGGGGTGGAAGAATATTGTGCAGAGGCTGTATGCACAGTTAGGAACCAATGTGGAATAACTAATCCTTCCCCTCTCTACTTTATCCTCACAACATTCTTATTAAGCAGGTTAGGCTGAGACAATGATGAGCCCAGTCATACTGTGAGTTTCACAGCCAAGTGGGGACTTGAGCCTGGCTCTTGCCTGTACTGGTCCAAAACAATGCCACATTGGCTCTAACTATGTGCAATGAATTCATTTTTGCAGTTGCAAGAATTATTCTCTAACTGCACAATAAATTCAGGGGAAACACTTATGTTCAAGAGAGCTCAAGTTGCAAAATGAAGAACTATAAGCACAGATTGTAAACTAGCAGATGTACTAAACCAAAGCATCCAACTCCAACTGAGACAGGCTTCCAGAACAAACAGCTGGTTTCTGAACTTTGGCTTTTGTGGGCGCAATAAACATTCTACAACAGCATAGCTTTTGGCTTAAGAAAAGAAACACCTCCAAAGTAAAATATTCTCAACTGAACTCCTATCAGCAAATCACAATGTAACTAATTGCAGTCCAACATTAAATACTGTTTTACATCTAAGTCCTATTTGTCTTCACTGTTCATGTATGAAACAATAAAAATTTTGAAGAGGTGTGAAATATTGGAAACCTATCTTCTATCAGGTTATAAATCTCTACAATCTTTAATGAAATGCCTCCATATGCAAACCTGCTTTTGCCACCAGTTCCATTTTCAATGAATGCACATCACAGTGTTTTCTATAATGAGCTATTAAAGTTGGAATGCTAGTCAGCCTTCCAAAAGCTAGAAGGAGTTAACTCTAACATTGCTGAAGAAAGAGCTCAAGATAGTCAACAGAAATAGCTATGTTTAAAGGAATATACTGCAAATGTAAACCTTTACTTTCTCTGTGGGTATCTTGAGTCACAACCTTTCACTGCACAAAAAAGTGGAATGCGTATGTTTCATCTAAAACGGAAGTCAGCTTCTTTGTTTCCCATTAAACGCTACACTAAATGAAAAGCACATGACTTTGCTTAAGCCTTTATTGCATGAAACTGCAGCTGGTCCAGTAAAAGCTTTGAACGATAAGAACAACTTGATCAACATATTAAGCTGGATCTGTTCCAGTATTAGTTAAGAAAGAGTAAATTACCATTGTTTTGTATATAAGATTGCATGCTGACACAGCCCTCTTTATGCTGCAGAAAGTGCTTTGGAGGGCTGTCTATTTCTATAGTAGCATCACTAAAAATAATTCATATCATTTTCTGGCCATTTGGAATTAATGCACAGAAAGCTATACTGAAATCATCACACAAGATCTCAATCAGCAAAAACGGTAGGTATTGCTTTCCAAAAAATTATCTTAATATATATATTATTTTCAGTTACCATGAAGCTAATTGTTTTAAGTTACCATAAAGGTATTTTGATTATATGACATCTAGATTAGATATGCAACTGTAGTGTTTTTCTCCAAAGTATATGCATGGTATTTTTTCTATTTAAAATGTATTTTTATTTCTTTGTACCACATTTCAAAGCCTAATTTGCTCTGCAAAACAGTTCCTTAAGACAATGCAAAATATTTTCACTCTGGGGCTGGACTCAGCCCTGTTCCTTTTTTTAACTATTTCTTTACTACAGATGCCAGATCTCAAATACTATTTTGCAAACATTTCTATGCAGCACTCAAACTTACAAAAGATACCATGAAATAATATGAAGCTATTCTTGAGCTTTCGGCTACACTGTATATTACCAACTTTTCAAACAATAAAAGTATTTATATAAAGAACACTAAGAGTTAAATCATTTTCCATGTTCTTGAGCATTAGAAAGGCGCTGCCAATAGTCTTCTAGGCTTTAAATATTGTTTTGACAGATTGCTTTTTTATTTCCAGTCACAAAGAAATCTTTCTCCCTAGTTCTTCCAGCTCAATATAAGTCAGATCTCTTGAAATGAAGACTTTGCAGAAGTTTAGTCTCTTCATCAGTTTTTTAATGCCCTTGGTGAAGTTAGCACCACCTAATCAACAAAACTCAGACCCGTTTTATGAGCATGACTTGACCATAACTGCTGAAGATGCAGTATTCAAGGAAATCTATGAAGATACATTATTTAAAGAAGATTATGATGACAATCTGCAGGATGCAGTAGAAAATAAGGTAGTTTATAAGTTCTATTTTACTTTTTCCATTATCACTATATGAACTAGCATCTATGCATGTATGCATGTTAATAAAAGCAATTAAAATAAAGAAAATGCAAAATTATATAAAAAGAAAGGTATGAAGTTACACTATTGCTTTATTTTGACATGCTTTGTTTCTTTATCCTAATGCAAATCTTCATAGCAGCATGTACCATGACACACCATGTTGCCCACAAGCAATGGGCATCAGACTAAGCTTGCCTTAGTGCATTACTATATGGGCTGTATCCAATGTTAGTCTAACATAAGACCTATTCATTTCAATGGGTCTACTCTAAATATTTTATTAATTTACAGCATTTCTATCCTGCTCTTCAGCCAAGAAAGGCTCCCCTCAGCAGCTTATATAGCTGTATAATTCAATGCCTGACCTCAGGCATACAATCTAAGATACAACTCTAAATAAAAAGGGACTGGATGAGGCGGGGGGAAGAGGGAACAAAAATGAAAAACTCAGGTACACAGACATCATTTCTGAGTTTGTTTCAGTGTTCTTTCAGGCAGGAAAGAGCAAAACAAGCTCCCTCTAACTATTCTTTCTCTGGCCAATGCATAGGCTTAGGCTGGTCTTCCCCTTGGCATGACGCTTATTCTGGAAGGCAATGGGTACAGCCTCCCAGAGCTTTTAGTTCTCTGGCTGAAGGATGAGGTCAACGTCAGCCATCCCAGAGATCTTCAGTTGGAGCTGTGAGTTCCTTCTGGCAGAAAGGGATAAAGCAACCTTCCTGCAACTGCTCCCTCTGTCTTCCCCTTGCTATGATATTTGTCTTAAGAAGCAAGGGTGCAGCCACCTAGTGGCCCATGATTCACTAATACAGAACACAAACCTATTATTGCTTTTCTTACCAAACCACATTTTTCAATGATTTATCATACAATCATAAATAGCAATTTCTTCATTTATATACAAAAAGTCCAGTATGGTCTGTTGATTAGAAACATATTGACCCATCCTGGAGATCTGTTCCCAAGAATTTCGCAGCCTTGGCAAGTCATAGGTTTAGCCCCAGATCTGTAGAACACAATTCAGAGAGGCCTACCCTTTGAGGGCAAGTATAATAAACACAGGGCACTTTGCACATGGTATATCCTTCATTATACAAATGATAAACAACAATACTTCTGTAATGTCTATTTATTTAGATGGAAACACAGCACTGTATAATCAGCAAGGCTTATTAATTCCCTCTGTGTTTAATATGAAAATAAACAGTACATTAACACTGTGTTCCACCATACAGTAGCCAATTAACAGTGTTTATACTGCTATTGTCCAGATTGCAATGCAGCCCCCACACATAAATAACAACTAAATTATAGTGCTCTGGGTGTTCCTGCAATAATCAGAGAAATTATTAATGGGAAAATGTGGTTTAAATTTTCAACTGTTGCAAGGGGTGGCAATTTAATCATTACATATATGCATATACATGAAGATCTTAACTGTTTGTTCCTTAAGGTAGACTATTTACTATTTTAAAGCTATTCACCTAAGAGAGAAAGTGGAATTTTACTGTTTTGTATCAGTAGATAGCATTCCAATAAGATAATAAGCTTCAATTTGTATTGAAATTGAATGTAATCTGTTGTATTGCAGGATTAACAAAGGGTTTAAAAAGAGCAACAAATGGTTAAAGTGAACTCACTAGTGAGAGGTGCTTTAAGCACAACTGGACAGAGGTGATGATTGAAGAATATTCAATAAATAGGGATTAGTAGTTTGTTCTTTCATAATACTGGATTGTATACAGGATAACTCATTCAGAATTTAATGTTCAAATATCCCATGATATCTGATTTTGAATTACACACACACACACTTTCCTTACACCTCACGTATACATGGAGGATTTTATGTTTATATTAATATACATGTGTAATACAGAGGCAGCAATATCCAAACATAATGGCAGACTACTTTCCTTGAGAAGACGTGACGTATACTTGTATTAAAGGCTAAGTATAGCAGCAAAGTTTTTCCCAGTTTATTATCAAAATTAAGACAAGCCACGCTTGTGGGCTCTACCCAGGATGGTGACCCTGGAAGCCAGCAAATCTTATCGACCATTGTTCTGCAGCACGCTTATGTTATTATAAGTAGAATTCTATTTGTCTTTGGAGTAACGTAAAGAACGACCTAATCCAGGATTCTGTTGTCACAGTGGCTAGCCAGATACCTAGGGGAAGCACACAAGCAGAACATAAATGCAACAGAATGCTCCCACTCATGCTCCCAGGCAATTGGTATGGAGAGGCATGTTGCCTCACACAGTGGAGGTAATACACAGCCATCATGATTAATCACCATTGACAGCCTTCGCCATGAATTTGCTTAACCTCCTTTAAACGCCATTCAAGTTGGATTTTTAGAGGCAATTTTCAGAGTTTAATGATGCAAAGTGCAAAGCTTTTTTTTCATCTCTTCAAAATCTCCCACCATTAAGCTTCACTAGATCATTCTGGATTCTGTGAGATAGATCAATAGATAGATAGATGAAATAGAAAGGAAAAGTCAGCCTAATTAACTTGGTGCCATCTACAAACTTTACCGCTTATTCTGAAAACATTAAGAAGCCCTAGTTCCTAAACAGTTCTTTGGGGACTCTACTATTTACATGCTCCATAGCAAAATCAAACTTTTATTTTACTTTCTGTTTTTTTTGCTCTTTAATTATATATCCCTAAATGCTAGGTTTGCTCAGAAGACTTTGGTGAAGGCTTGTCAAAAGCCTTTTCAAAATTCTGGTAAACAAATGACTGCTGGGTTACCTAAATCCAAATGTTTGACAACACTCTCAAAAATTCTAAAAATCTACTGCGGAAGGCCATGATGGTTTTATCCACCATCTTATCCTTCAGTGTGCTTGAGATATATTTAATAACTTTTGGATCCAATATAGCCAGAACAGATATTAAGTGATCTGGCCTATAATTTCATTAAAAACTGATGTTCCATTATCCAGCCCTCTGGTAAAATGGCCCATTTTAGGACAAGTTACATATTTTTGTTAGAGGAGCTATAATTTCATACTTGAGTCCTTTATGAACTCTTAGATGGATACCAGCTGGAACCAATTATTTGTTTGCTTTCAGTATGTCAGTATTGTCAACTTCATGCAATCACCACTGTTGGGTTCCTCAAAATCTTCTTTGCCTCTTTTATTTTCTGCTTGCCATTCTTGTGTGCACATTTGTATTCTTTTTTTTCTCCATCACCAATATCTGGGCAATGACTTCATCTCAGGAAATAAAGTCATGCCAGGATTTCCTGCACCACAGCTGACAATAGGCGTGGGAAAATCCCAGTAGTATCACTGCTGTCCAAAAAAGGTTCACATCTACATTTGCTTTGCATGTAGAAGGGCTCAGGTTGAATCTCTGACATGTTTTGTAAAAGAAGCATTTGTTAACAGCTGTAATTCCACCCCAAGCCCTAGAGAGCTACTGCCAGACACAGTACAACATACTTACAAGTAGGTGAAACAGACCAATGGTTTAAAGCAGTTCAAGGTCATATTTATTCAAGGCACGACATGCTCCTGTTTCTAACTAAACAAAGCTAGGACAGAGGCAAGAATGGATAGGACATATTACTGTTCCCAAAAGGATACATACCCACTATGCTAGAGGCTAATATAAATATTTATAATATAAATGGATATTAAAATGATTTGTAAATAGCTTTCATTCATCAAATATCTGAAATCATGAGGCATCACAAAAGAGTTTCAGTTGCTGAAAGATTTGTCTAAATATGTAAATAAATTAGGAATGCAAACAAGTGGACTTCCTTCTCTTTTTAATTATATGTAGAACATACTTAATAATATTTTAATGATATTTGATATGAGAGCAGACATGCTTCTAAGTACTTTGGAAGCCTCTCTTCCTGTTTCCAAAACAATGAGAGAAAAGTATGGTTAACTATACACAAGCTCAGGAGTCTACAAGGTGGCATCTGTGAGCCCATGCAATCATATCTATTAATATACATACATGGATTTGTACAAAATGCTTTTTAACATACATACATGGCTTTCTACAAATTCACATAACTTTCTAGCGATTATACATAGGCTTCAACAAAAGCAAACCAAATATCCAAGTCCATTTGAAGTCAGTGTCTATCTGTCACCTGTTCATACAATGAAAGTGCTGTAAAGTCCTCAATCCTTGCATTATAGGATGAATGTGTTTATCTTTCAGTATCAATCCTTTCAGCTATGAAAAGGGAGAAGAAAATCTATTTCCTCTTCCACTTGCTAATATCCATAAAGCAAGTAAATAATTTAAAAGTGGTAATCATCACTGAATATTAAAGACTATTCCAATACAAAATTTATCTGTGTAATAACTGCTTCCTGAAAAGAAGCAAATACTGGACATTGCCAAGCTAAATATTTAGATGTATTAGTTGTACTGCACAATCAGCAATTGGTTGAATTAAACAATCCCCTTACTAAAAAGACATTCAGTGTCTAATAGAGGTGAAACAAATGTTTACTGAATAACATGAAGCCTAGTGTCTATAGCTGTGACAGAAAGAAGCCAAAGTGGCGAGCCAAGATTATGCATTGTGTGGTTGTGCATATAGCAACTCTCATACGCAATCATTTGTTAAGTTGCATCAGCACCACAGTTTTGGTTTCTTAGAACATTTTTCCCATAGTGATTTTCACCATATCACATCTCTAATTAGACTGAATGTTCCCTAAAACTCAGGATTCTAAACCATAGTTTGATCCTGATTATAGAGAACATCCAAACCACAACTTCACAGTTCAAATTTCACAGCAAACTGTGGTTTGACAAACCAGTTAGTCTTGCCTTAATCAGGGACACTCCACATGTTTTCCTGAACCAAAAAACTACAGGTAGTCTCAGAATGTAACATCTGAACCAGCCCACTTCCCCAATTACTGTGAAGCAGTATTTTGTAACTCTTTCCATTTGTTTGTTATTTGTGCATATTTTGTGCAATATGTCACATGAAAAGTTACCCTATCCAGTAGGCATTGCTGAATATTAGTTTACAAATGAGTTTTCTATACAGTTTCCAACACACTAAAAATACTTCCAGACAAATGCTTTTATTGACTTGTAAAGGATTTACCACAACTATAATTGAATATTACTTATTAATACCTGCTGTTACTGTATGTGTTTTTATAACTTCCAATGTAAAAGGAAAACAATGGTATGCACCTATTCCATGAAAATGAACTGCAAGTACAGAAAGATGAAGAAGGACCTAGTGGGGGATCAACAAATTATACAGGTAAGATTGTACTACATTACAATATTAAGGTTCAGATAAATAAATAGTTCCCAAGGAAGGCATTATATGCACCAACAGCAGTTCCATTGTTTTTGGCATCCATTCACTATTACTAATAAAGTTAGGAAATGGAAAATTCCCAATCTCATGTCACTCCAAGTCAGTAACTCTCCAAAAATATTTGCAAGTCTGTATAAACAGTTTTTAAAGCTTCAACAAGAACTGCTGCAATATCTAAATTAAGAATATTCAATCTTTGTTAAGATAAACACCACTACTTAACAGTTTCCATAGAACCAGTAGTTGATAGGGCACACAAGACTTTGCTTCAGAATTATAGTATATGATTTCTATAATTTCATTTGCTTTGAATATAACTGAAAAAAATTGCACCCTTAAAACTTGAAATATGTCATATCAAATTCTATGCATCCCACAAGTCATGTATTGCCCACCTCTGCTTAGAAGAAAGGGTAAGGAGAATTAATTGTAAAAATATGAGTAACTGCATTAAGTGAAACAAAGAAGTAGAACTGGTTTAAAAGTTATAAGCTTTTCCTGTGGAAAACTGAATCATATATGTCAGGGTATCAGATGGGGTAAAAATACCCAAAATAAATAAATAAAATATCGGGAAAAGAGAATTCAGAACTATGATAACTACACACTTTTGGTGGCAGGGAAAGAACATAAAATGTTGGGAGCTCACCAAAGAGTGTGAAGATGGCCATTTCCCAATATGGTTGCTTCAGAGGTCAAGGACAGCAAATGCTTTCACTATTTACCTGTATTACCTAAAGCAGCTGTACCTCTGGGAATACAATTACTGGGCCCACTCCATTGTCACAAACTCTAGTTCCCAAATCACTTCCATTAAGACATTATCCTATCTATGGGACACTTTCTCAGTATGAGCTTTTACTTTTATCTTCTACAGAACGTAAGAGTCTGTACACAGGTAAACCATTCTGTCATGACTGAAAAGGGCATTTTTGTTACTGCTAGAGTACTCTCCCAGGCTAGGAAAGACATAGTGCTTTAGAAAACCGCACTATTTTACTTTAGAAAAACCACACTATTTTACTTTAGAAAACCGCACTATTTCTGTCTTAAAAATACCCAAATAAGTGTAAGCTGAAAAATGAGGGATTAAAAAAAAAAAAAAGAAAAAATAGTGTTAAAAGCATAGAAATAGTGATTTTCCAAGTGTGCTCAAATAATACAATCAAATAATCATTTCAGTTTGTGTGAGGAAAGCTGGCCAATTATGGGTGATTGGCCTAAAACAATTGGTCTCTCTTCTTCAACAAAGCTGAATTTAAGAAATATTACTACTTCATGTCAAAGTAGAATAATGACAAATGAGCTTCCTTATTCCTGATAAATCACCCCTCAGAGAAATTAGACACTTTTTATGAAGATAGCATAAGCAATACTCTTAGTAAGAAAGCATTTAATCATTACCTGAAATTAAAATAATTTAACTGAATAATACATGTAAGTAATCTGGTCATATGTGGCATGAAAGCATAACAAATAATTAACACAGGTATGTGTGAGCAGTAAAACTAGCAGGTTTTATAAACTTACTGTTGTGACTACATAAACTTCCATCAGTTTACAAAAATAATCCAACTGTCTTTTCTAATGAAAAAGAACAACTTTATCTCAGTTGATTTCTCTTTATTCTAGCAAATGTAGCAAACTATAAAATTGGAACTCATGTGTGAGAGCACTGAACCCACAAGCTTGGATCCAAACTTTCTGTGAACAGTACTGCAATGCATGGGACATTGTCAGTGGAAAATTTTTCATCAATCCTTTCTTCCAATTGCAGTTTCCTCTACCCCCTGAAAAGCTGCTCTGGAAGGCCAGAAGACACTCTAGAACAAGATAAAAGGAAGTTCTGTAGATTGCAGGAGAGGAGAACTAATGAAAATCACTTTCCCACCAATTCCTCCAGTGGGATCTGTTGGACTGTAGCCCCTTCTGCAAACAGAGGGAATGCTTCTATTTGCAGAAATTACTCTGTGGTTCCTACACTGTATGTTTTAAACATCTTTTCCTATCTGTTCTTTCTACCAGCATATGGAAAATATTACTCTCTATCGTTATTTCTATCATTATAGAGGAGTGAAACAAAGAAGGGAGACTTGTGGCCACCTGAAAGAGAAATTTACATGGGCAGGCCCTACAACTAATTCAGTGGCAACTCTGTCCCCACATCTATTCAGTCAACACTATTACAGGACCTAGAAGCATTCGCCTTAGCAGCTCATTTGTCCACTCACCCCCTACACGATATGACATTCCATTGACTACATATGTTAATGCACAGAAACAAGCCTATTCTCAAAATGTACCCTTCAGAAACTAGCAGGAAGACCATTTCAATTTCACTGGATACTGATGATTCAGCTATCCTGAAAAATGACAATTTTTCAATCAAAGGACTTCATGTCTTGTTTTAAAGAAAAAAATGTGGCTTATACACCTAATAAAATGGGCTGTAGTCCACAAAACATTATGTCATGATATACATGCATTTTGAAAGGTGCCACAAGACACAGTATTACTACTGAAAATGTTTCAGAAACCCAGCATCCACATCAAGCTTAAGCTATTTAACATGGTGACATGCCCAAACTCATCTTCAGAAAGGCAACACTTCTTCAGCTTAAAAAGGGACATTTCTTTGCTAGAACGACTACACATTCTTCTCTGTATATAATCCCCCCTCCAGCAACAATCCTGAATCACCAAGTTTTGCACTGTTTATAGCAAAACTTTGTACATTATAAAAGCTATAACCCTATTTTGGGAACTTTTCCAAAGCTCCTGCTATTTGCAGTGATAAATACACTAAGAGAACAATCTGCGGCCCTATGCATAGTCTGGAGCCAAAGGCTAGACTGGATTCCAAGCTCCAAGATCGGCGCTAGTGCTCCAACCTTGTAGCTCAAAATGAGAACTACAATCCCCCAACTCTTCACACAATTAGAATGAAAGGAACCACACTCTAAAGCTGGGGAAGAATGCTCAGAGGGAGTGAAAGGGGCAGGTAGGAGGAGGAGCCTGAGCAGCCAGGACACAAGGTATACTGAAGCCATTCCAACCTCCCTACCTCCACCCCTTCTGGCATGCTATCAGTAAAGAAAAAGCAGGGCAGGAAAAGTGCAGTGACAATGGTACCACCACTGCTATATCTGTTTTATACTGGATGAGTTTGGAGCCTCCAAGTTTGCAAGCTCATGCTCATCTCAAATGGATTGCATTCTTAAAATGTTATCAAAGTTAACTGTTAGCTTGATCACTTATTTATGTATATTCACTGTGTTTTCATTTAACTCAGCATTTCAAGATTACTGTTACATTAGAGTAACATTAATAGAAAGATCTATTTGGATACAAGAGATGAATTAAATCCTACAAATTATCAGAGTAGAATTTAAAGGACTTGCTTATAGAATGGAGCTGCCAGAAAGCTTCATATGTAGTCTGTAACAAGAAGAATACAGTGGTTAATGTCTACATTCAAGACATTCAAAACCCCCAAAATGTTTTGCCACCTGGATTGAGTCCTTCTTTCTAACTTCTACTTATTTATAAAACCAAGTGATATATTTTCAGATTTGGCTACTTGTTTGGTGTGTACTTGTTTAAGTGGCTCGGTTTATTGTGAAGAAACACAAATTCAAAGCATCCCAGCTCTACCAAAGGGAACAGGATATGTTTATGCACGTTTCAACAAAATCAAGAAGGTCAAAGTCTCTGATTTTTCAGAAATTCGTAAGTATATATTTAGAACTATACCTTTCTTAACTAGAATACGATGAAAGTCTAGACAAAGAATTGAAAATATTCTTGAGTTATCATTTAATTGCCTATATTTTTAGACGCACACTGTACTAGGGCTCAGAAATTCCATGGAAGCTTTTATCTTGAACCTGAGCACTTGATCACTACCAGTAACACTACTGAGCTCCTCTGCAACTAAGTGGAACCTAGTCTTAACTCATTCTGGGCTGGGCTGGGCTGGGCTAAAGCCAACCTCAAACAGGAATGTTACTGTCCTATCATTATACAGTGATTCCGTTGGGTCAACACCAAATCTGGAAACAGATCACTACAAACGGCTTAACATTAGAAGCAGACTGTTATAACACCAGTGTGACAACAGTCTTACTCAGAGACTCAAAGTATGTGTGCAGTGCTACAGTAAAACTTCATTTTGTGTGCCAACCTGTAAGGATAATATTGCCATCATAGTACTTTAAAAACAGCACAGAAAAATTGTTTAACAGAAAGCCCAGAAATAAAAATGGATAAATTTCTCATTTTCTTAAATTTTTAATGTCTTCAAGCACAAGTCAGTTCTGTCCAGTTTCTATATTAATTTGCAATGAAAATGTGTTCACATTTTATATCTAATTTGTTCTAGTATAAGCACATTTAGCCAGCACTTTCCCTCAATATATGGCTTTTTGTATTCACTTTTCTGTAATGTATGCAATTGTGTACATTTTTCTAGTTTTTGCATTTTGTATGCATCCTTTGATGAAAGAACTTGTAAAATTTGGATACATGAGAAAATCAAAGTATCATAGCATTAGTGTTCACATATTAGTCTCAGAAGTGCAAATTAGATTGATTTGTATTAAAATGTAATCCAAACAGTTTGCCACACATCCTACCTGTGAGCTTACCCACTTCTGAGGGCAGATGAAAGTAAAAGGAAAGGATGGAAACTTTTCAAGGGAACCAAAAATCAAGCAGACTCATTCATGTGCGATTCAACAGCATGCACTTATTAGGAAATGTGGTATACTTGTGGTCCTGCCTGTGGACATTCACATGTCACCATTAGTTAGATCTACTCAGCTGCGGGCAAACAGGATTTGGGATAGAAGGAAAATGGTTTTATTCCTTCCCCACTACTGACATTAACTGCCTGAAGCCTTAAGAACTACATGCCCCCTGCCCATATAACTCTTAAGGTGTTGGGTTAGAGTCAACCTTTTGCTACAATCCCACTTATCCCTTCTAAATTGAACCACTGAAAAGCAAGAGATGCTTGAAACCCTACATTATGTATAATTACAAAACGTTATTTTTTAAAAAATAATGGGCAACCAGTGGAAAACATAAGACTAGGCATTCAGGGGCCACAGAGGTCACCAGGGGCCACAAAGCACTGGCAACTAGAAATGAAAAAGGAAGGAAGAGAATGGTTTGGCCTGCTTGAGCCCTTCATTGCCTACAGCAGAGGTCACCAAGCTTTTCAGGCACGCGGGGTCATTTGTCATTTTTCCTGTAAGTTCCTCCCCTGCACAATGCTGTGCTTACCGCTGCCACCTCTTCCTCCTTGCCATGTTTCTCTTTCCCTGTCACCATTCTTTCTTCCCCATAAATTGCTTACCACAACACTACATTTAGTTCCTCCTCTTCCTCTGACCTGTGCACAATTTCTTTCTTCCACAACACTTATCTTTCTTTTTATCTTTCTTATCTTTTAAGCCTTAGTAAGAAGAATTGATTTGACTGGAAATGCAATTCAAGAAATTGAAGATGGCTCCTTTGCAAAGCTTCTATTACTAGAAGAACTTTCACTTGCTGATAATTTCCTTGTTAAACTTCCAGTTTTGCCTCCCAAGCTAACGTTATTTAATGCAAACAATAACAAAATTAAAAGCAGAGGAATTAAAGCAAATGCTTTCAAGGTAATAGAGTCTATTATTCAATAGTTAGGGTTGTGTCCAATGTTGTTCTTGGTAGTGTAACATGTACCATTGGTGGACTGAATTTCCCCATCAACTGCAGTTGGAGGACCTCCAGGAAAGATTTTTTGGGTGGGGTGGGGTATGGGAGGTATACAGGGGACTGAAAGGGAGGAGGGAGAAGTTAAATAAGTCCACTCATTTAACTTAGTGAGCATAAACATTTGCAGCATTCACCAACAGTAGTTCACCATCTCACTCCTCCCAGCACAAAAACAAGCAAGCAAACAAAAACTAAACAAAAGCTTGCACAACACTCTACAAACTTTACCAATAAAGTACACAAGGTTTCCAAGTTTCTACAGCATCTAGCACATTAGTGTTGGCCTAATTTAAATGCTGAAGCACAGCACTCAAGGAAATAATTTCCTTAATAAAAATCAGTAAATGTGGATTAAACAATAATTTGTTTTTCTTAATATGTGCCTCAGTTTAGAAAGTGGTAAATATATTTTATTGCGTTGACGTCTGCCTCTATGAAGAGATTCTGAGCAGTTAGTGTAATAAAAAACAAATTTCTCTTCCCCACCTTTTCTCCTCCTCACAGAAGCTGACCAATCTCTCCTATCTCTACCTGGCAAAAAATGCACTGGACTCCGTTCCTCTTAACTTGCCAGAGAGCCTGCGTATTCTGCATCTTCAGGTCTCAAAACACTTTGTTCCTGTACAAACTTTAGTACTGTGAATTATTGTATTTAAAAACATTTATTCTGATATTCAAAACGCTTACTTCTCATTCACTATCGCACCCATGTTGCTGTCATACAAAAATTCTGATTGTCAAGATACATTGTACATAAGATGAATACAAATAGAAAGTTATCATAATGTTTTACTTTATTTCTGTATGAAGTTCACAATAAAGGAAAGCCATCACACATCAGTAGCAACTTGTACATGAAGAATCTTGCAAAATTATATGCAGTCTTCAATTCAGATCACTGCCTAAGCCCTAGTGGAAAGGTTACAACAGCACTGTACTTATTAGCGATGAAGACAAACAACAAGATCCCAAAATCCAGGAAAAGTTCAGATGAACCAAGAATTTCCTTGAGGTAGATGTGAAATTTTACAGGTTGGGCAAGGCAGTGCCTTGGAATCACAAGCAAGAGATTGCAATCCTATGAATACTTACCAGGAAGTAAGTTCTCTTGAGCACAGTCAGACTTCAAAGTAAGTCTGTTAACTTGCTTTCCCCATAGTTACTCAAAAATCTGTTTACTCTGAGAAGATTATAGTAGAAAAACCCAGAAAGCAAAAAAAGACCAACAATGACTTCTGTGTGTTTTCTAATTTGTTGTTAGCATTGTGTAATAAAAGTGTAAACTACCTTGGCAAAAAGTTGGTTATAAACACAATAAACAAAGTGTTGCTTTACCCAGCAAACTCAGTCAAGTGAAAGATCAAGTGACTTTGCTCAGCAAGGAACCTGTATTTCCAATAATTACAGATTCTTATGAATAGCCACCTAACTATAGGAACTCCCATCTGTAATCTGTAGGAATCTGCTGTTTTATTTAATATAGCAAATTGTCTCAGTTAGGATCAACACAGTAGAATTGATGATGTACAGCAAGAGCAACTAAAGAGCCAGACTTTAATGAAAGATGTTTGGAAACACACCTATAAAATGTTGCAGAATATATTCTTGTAGTACTCTATGGAAAAGTGAATTGATGCTATTGAACAAAGCAAATCATTGAACTAATGCATCTGTTAATTAGTTCTGGATATTCAGATTTTTCAAATTCACTATTTTGATTTGCAGAACAACAACATAACCAGCATCACAGATGAAACCTTCTGCAAAAAAAATAATCAGACCCGTCATGTTCGTCAGCGCATGGATGAGATAAGAATGGAAGGCAACCCAGTCATCTTGGGAAAGTATCCCAATGCGTATATGTGCTTGAAAACATTGCCTATAGGTTCATACTTTTAATTACTAACAAAATTGAAAGGGTAAATAACAGGTAAAGGTACCTTTATATCGCTGTTTAAATATGTCTTTTCATGTTAATATCTTCCCACATGTATTCAACAGTGTAAGCAGTTATAATGTACTTAGTTCTACCTTAACTGGGTGATGCTGCACCTTCTGGTTCAATAAGCCTGAGCCTTTTTTATTTCTAAAACTCAAATATGAAAGCAGCAATGTATTGCTTATTCAAACGGAACCAATCCATTTTTCAAATGAATAACGGCAACATTTTGTTGTACTTTAACACCGCAGTGTTAAGACTTCATGGATAATGGTTAGCCAATTCAGACAAAAGGAGCTTCTTTCTCAGAAGGTCAACAGTGTAACTTGATATGATGTAGGAAGCAAATAGTGCATTATATGCAGGGAGAGCCAGAATTTGAAGGAGTAGAACTTATCTTCTGAATAGAAGGGCAAAAAATAAAAAGAATGTGGAGATTAAAAAGTTACATGAGGTAGAAGGGGCAACAAAGGCTTCAGTTCAGAATGGGTACTGAAGCAGTAATCCAGATTGTATGAATCAAGAAGTACCATTTTCTGGTACTTAAGGATATATGATCTTGACATTTATAAGGGGGTCATTGTGGAAATAATTTCTTCTGTATATTCAACCTCTGATTATGCTGAGCAAAGCTTTATATGTGACATCAAAACCTGTGACATATAGGTTAATCATGGATTAGATTGCAGGTAGACTAATTGTAGATTAACTGGGGGTTGTTTTAGCTCACAATTAACCTATAATATCTGGGTTTGGATGTCATGTCAGAACCCCTGATCAGAGGTTGAACATGCAAAAGGATCACAGATTGTGCCTAGAATGTGCCATGGCAAATCATTGGTTAATCAACCTAGGAACTGCTACCTTTATGGGAGATCTGGATCAAAGTGTTCAAAAGTTTATTTTCCAACACATTACATGAACATTAGAAAAGTGCTAAAGATAACTAGAGGTATTTTAATTCTTAAGAACTAAGAACAGAAGAGGAAAACATCACTTTATGCTACAATGGGGAAGATTCATCTTAAACATTAGGGATAAACAATCCTACCTAGGGAAGTTGTAGAATTTTTGTCAGAGGTTTACATAAAATAAAATAGATTGGCCCATGTTCATATGGTTTAGGTATAAGATGCCTTACTGAGATGCTGGACAATTAATTTTGCAGTCTCTTGCAAGGTCTCTTGCAAATTCTATCACAATAAAATATCAACATATATCAATGTACATTATACAAGTGTATAATATACATAAGCACAAGTTCTTCTGATATAAATGCTTACAGTTAAATACTAAGATTAGGTGCCTGTGAATAAAAATGTTGCCAAATTTTTAACTTAAAAATCCAACTTATCAAACCTTACAACTTCAAACGAGATACAGCAGTTTGTTAGACTCTGTTGTTTAGACTACCTCCTGGAAGCAGTTAACCCTGATATGAATAATCCTGAAAAATATTGATAATTTACAATTCTTAACATTTTTCAAATTCAAGTATTATACTTAGAGCTAGAAAACAGATTCATCCATTTGGATAACATTAAATGCATTCCTATAATTGCAAGTGATCACAAGGCAACAGACATTTCTAAACCCTACTGAATCCATTGGAACTTGCCTCCAAAGAACCATGCATAGCATTCTACAATAAGAATAAGCAACATTTGTGAAATATTTATTCTCTTTAGACTATCACCCTGCTCTAACCGCTGCATGACTGTTTCAAGGTTGTGAAATCTTGGTTGGAATCAGCCCAGGTTGAACCCTTCTCTCAAAACAGGTATCAGCTTGGCAGATTTCAGTACAATGCTCAAATAGTGTGCGCATGTGTGATATGTCAGTTGAAGGCTTCATTGGAAGTACTTTATCAATAACTTCTGATTTGCACTCACTCTCATTCTTTGCATATTTTTGGTAAGGACAGATATATTATCTTCTGATTTAATTATTCACTGGCATTAAAGACTATATTACAGCTATTAAACTCTGCTGTAACTATGCTATTTTAACTATATTATGTATCACACCTCAGTTACATGATGAATTTATGTGATGTGAAACATTTAGAGATTTCTGATTGATTTTAGTTTGTGTTTCTTTCCTAATGTCTCAAACTCTAAATGTCTAATAAAACAAATCACCAAAAAAACAAAAAGACCTGGCTCTTGCTATTTCATTTGAAATAACCTGGCTAGCCAAGATAATTAAGACTAATCCCAAATTGTTTCTCCATGTCAATATAAATAGCAACTTTTTGTCCAGGTGGCTTAGTTCCATCACCTTAGATAAAGTCAAAACAGAAAGGGATTCAGTGACACTGACTTATTGATGCAAATTACTTGACACCAAACACACGTGAGAGTTCATGGCACTTAACATTACAAGTAATAGATTAATTTATTTGAGAACTAAATGTGCCTTGCTTAGATCAAGGTATAATGCTGAAGCAGGTGCATATTTATAGTCATTGACTTGGAATAACACTGAAGGTTCAAAGCACACAGACACCCAAATTCACAATACAAGATTCAAAACAGTTTCTTCATCCAAGATTTTAGAGGAGTCCAGTGGGAGTCCCAGGCAATAGAGACATATTCCCAAAGGGAGAATTTTGGTGCACAGGAGCACCAAAGCTGAACTGGTTACAGGGATACAGAAGTAAGTTACAACTTTGGTATCTTATATTGCTGGATTCCAACTGAACTAAGTCCAGGAGTCAGGAACTGAATAAGCAAAGAAGGAGTTTTGATCAGCAGAGCGTTTTTTCCCCTAGGGTCTCTATTGACAAGGGATCCTCACAGATCCTGGTGCAGGAGTCAGACTGATAATCATATCAGTGATCAGTTTAATGAAAGTTTCCAAGTTCGGATTTCTGTGGTTTACAATATAAGGCAAGGCCAAGAGTTACAACAACCCACTCAAGAAAACATTCTAGGCAACCAAAGACATGGGCTAAAGCTAGAAATTTCTACACAAACAGATCTGTCCAAACCATAGTTTCTACAGAATTTCTACTTTAGGTATGCCTAAGCAAACATCAGTTCAAGAGACAGGTTTAAACAAATAAGGGCCCATTTTTAATGGAGAGTCCAGACAGAATTGTCAGCAAGGAAAGACCAGAAAAACAGAGTCCTAAGACTTGTTACCATGAGGAGCTCCCCTCCACACGCAGTGTTGGGTTAGGGCGATTACAGAATTCATGCAGTCTAGGGTAGCAGATGGAGCAGAACAGAATTACAGAATCCTTGCTTAGCAAGAGATTCCAGCTCCGAGTTGTCATGATGCAAGAGTTCAAATAGGCTACCAAGAGTACGAACAAAGCAAACCCAAACAAGAATCTGGCAACCAAACATAACTGAAAACAAGACAGAATTCTAGGCCACAAAAGACATTGAGACCAGCAAGGTATCCTTGCCTGAGTATTAGCTTATAAGCAGTGGAGTGATTCCTAAAACTCATTAAGAACTGCTCTGCTTATATGGCAGAGTTATTCAAATATATGATAACTGTGGCCAAAGTCATAATTGCTTTAAAATGGAAAGCAGAAGAAAACCCAACTACTGAGGACCGGAAAAATAAGCTAGCAATAATGGCAAAATTGACTAATTATGTAAATAGAAAACCAGTCATTGAATTTAATAAGTAGAAATTGTACTACACAACTTACTTTTATAATGGAGATAACAGAAAAATCTATATATGAATGGAGTGGAATTTTTGAAACTATTGTTGGAGATTAACATTTAAACACCAGTAATGGGACAGTATATAAAAGCTTTACATACATACATACATTATTATAAGCAAGGAGGATTATATAAATGGAATAAAATTCTTGAAAATATTGTTAGAGATCAACTTTTCTACTGATGTTTTGTTGTTACAGTGAGTTAAGATTACTAGAACTATTTAAGTACAGCTAGATAATTGCAAACTAGAGTTAAAACTACCTTATAGGGAAAAGCAGAAGAAAATTTAATCACTGAAGACTGGAAGAATAACTTAGTTGACTATGCAATAATGGTAAGACTGACTAACCATGTAGAAATATAACCAGCCAAAGAGATTAATGATAAGAGGAAATCATATTACACATAACTTCTTTTTAATTGAGATAATAACAATGGAAAATATAGGTATAAAGGGAACAGTATTTTTTAGAAAATTGTTAGATTAGAACAATTTTCAATTAATTGTAACTTAAGTTCTTAAAAATGTGACTAAGGAGAAAGGATAGTAATTGCTGACTTACAGCAATTTTATTCTTTGTAACATTTAAGAACCCTTGGTGTTTCTGTTATTTATTTTGTATTTTTTTTTTAAATTTCCCATCATTAAACAATATTTTAATTTTAATTGTTTCAACAATTGAATCTGAAATAACCATTACTACATCGAACAAGAAGTATTAATGGTTATTAGTTCTGTTCTGGTCTTATGCTTAAATGATTATATCATTTATATCCTTCCTTTCTTCCATCCAAGAAACTCAGGATGCTTGACATCATTCTCCTCCTACTGCTCTCAATCAACTGCCCTGTGAGGCTGAGAGTCTGTGAGTGGCCCAAAGTCACTCAGTGAGCTCCATGACTCAGTGGGGCCTAGAACCTTCATCTCACGAGTCTCAGTCCCATGCTCTTAGCCACTGTGCCACCCTGCCTCCCATCTGAAGCAGATCTCAGTTTAGAAGCTACAATGACTTGGGCAATGACACCAGTCTGTCATCTCACCCCTTTCCCTTTTTCAGCTTCTCACAACTCTGTTCACAGCCAGCAGAAACTTTACTAGATCACAACCCTTCTACCATCCTATTTCCTCTAATAATCTCGTGATTCCTCACTCCTCCTACCGTAATTTAAAACATTCCACTTTTCACCCCTCAGATGATGATTCCAAGCAGAGATTGTCTGTTCAGGAATTCTCCATTGAACTTACAGGTGGGAAAGAATTACTAGACTCTGAACTTGTGAGAAGCAATTCAGATCTTTTTGGTAAAGAATCTGAGCTACCCTACCAATCCACCTAATACTTTTGACTCTGCATCATTAGAAAAGGTAAAGATAACCAGTGAATGCTATTCAGTGCCAAAGTAATGCCCTTTAAACTTGCTGCCTTTCACAAGAACCTGCACAGAAAATATGGAGTAGGCTTAGTACTGAGTGAGTTGGATTAACGGCTGCTCCTGCAAGTTCTCCTGGCATCTACAGCACCTACACCTGACTCGTGCTGGAGTCTCCCTACTCCAGCATGACTGCTTTCTGGTCCAGGTCAGTTTCCTTAGAACCTGCTTGTTACAAACCTGCAGCCTGGCTGGGAAAAGAAAGACAACCCTCTATGCCTTAAAATGCTTAAATCAAAATCACTGCTCTTTCCTCTTCCATTTTATATCATTAAAATATGTAATAAAGACAAACAATTGTAGGTTCCTGTATGGTAATACCCAGGGGATCTCTGGACCTCAAGCAGACAGAGCTATGCATGTTGCTGTCTGAGTGACTTGCTCGCTATAAACGTTCTTTCTAATAAATGCTGTTGGCCATTACCAATTAAGGAGTTTCCACTGTGATTTGAATCATTATCTCAAAGCGCAGTTGTACCTGATGTGCTAAGAATGATTAACCAGGGTTAATCAAAGTGAAGCTACCTACAGAGGTAGCATTACCTCTATAGGAGCCCAAATTTGAACTCACAATGGGAAGCATGTACATCATTGAGGAAAGTCAGTAATATCTGGTATCGAAAGGCATATGATTATTTTCGCTAAATGTTTCTATAAATATTCTAAAACCATGAAAGAGAACCAGAAGTACCACTTAAATTTGAAATGCTCACCTATACTTTAACCAATAAATTGTCAAAAGATGATGGGAAGGAGATCACTAAAAAATTTCCTGAATTGTGGGATAGTCACTATTGATCACAGAGATCAATTCTATCCTCCCTGAAACACCATCCCAGGGATGGCAGGATAGTTTGGATTTTGCCCTCCAAGATCAGAGACTGCAGAAATGAGAGCTGACACTCTGAATCCACTGTCCCACCCCCTCACAGCCAGCACGGAGAGAACCACTCCAGCTGCTTCTCCAGGGTTGGAAACCTGACCTTGGAGAAGAGGAAAAGGATGTGGAGAGGCAGAAACTGGAGAAGCCAGGAAACAATTTAGTGATTAGAGTGCTGGATTGTGGACATGGGAGACCTAAACACTACTTGGCCATGAAGCTCACTGGGTGACTTTGGGCCAGTTACTTACTCTAAGCCTAACCTGTCTCATGGGGTTGTTGTGAGGACAAAATGGAGCTGGGCAAGTTCCCTTGGATTCCTCACAAGAGGAAATAAGGCAGGATATAAATGCAATGTTATAATAATAGTCCTGATTTTCTTTCAGTCTGCTTACTCCCCCTCTGAAGACCTTTCACTATAGTGAAAAAACAAAGACCACCTCCAAACAAAGACCAAAAAAGCAAAGATCATCTCCAGTGCAACACCTGCCCTGCCAGCTTCAGCCCAGCAGGCATCAAATGCTCACCCAGCCCTCCTGTGCTACCTTACTGCTACTGTAGCTGAGATAAAGCCACTCTGTGCTCTTTGAATCAATTCTGGCAGATGATTTTTTTTAAAAAATGCACTTAGAATAATGACATTTTATACAGGTTTATGCCTTGTATGCTAATGAAAACTGAAAGGTACCATTCTTTATGCAAGACAGTAACAAAATATGCTATAATTTTAAGGCACTGGAACCTGTACAAACAGCATGGAACCTAATAAGCATACATATATTGCCAGTTTCCTGATTATGCACATGAATCAATGTTACCAAAAACATTCTTGGTACTATATCCTGACAACATATCCTCTAACAAGAAACAAACAAGAAACATGCAATTCTTATTTTCTAACATAATGAATTACTTTTGTAGCAAGAGGGCTTAATATAAGAATGTAATGGTTCAAAAACACTACCTTGAAGTAGGTCCAAGTGTGTTTCCGATGTTCACACCATTCAGAGAAGCGGGAAAGGCTCCTGAAGAACAGCAAGAGATCCCCGCTCTCTTCCACTCTAGAATACAATGTAATTTGTAAGAAATATTGTGCTTTCTCCTACAGACTTATTATATAACTTTTTTCTAGATATTTTTATAGTTTCCCTATAGTAAATCATCCAGCTAAAAGTTGTTCAAATTTACTCTCGGTACAGAAATGTTTTCACATCATTACTTTATTGAACAATATAATCCACACTTGTTTCTCTCTTCTGTTTAGAGCTATTTGTTGTTATTGTATTTAAGACTAATTGTTGTTAACATGTCCCAAGAGGCTTAGACCCAATTTGCACTTAATGCAAAACCATCTTTGACAAGGTTACTAACCAGGCTCAGTAAACACCATTTAGGGCCAGCAGACCAATATTGTAAAACACAATTTGAAGTAGCTTCGTACAGTATTCATAGCAGTAGTACTATCATTAATTTCTATCAAACATGGTGCTCAAGACCGTTTTAAATCTTGTCCTATTATGTCCAAATCTGGTATCCTGTTCTGCCTTGTTTCATGTTCATCCCAGCTGCCACTTAGCAACAGAGAAATAAGGGAAGAACACTGAATATAAGACTGTTCACACAGATTACAGACTCTTGCTGGCATTTCTGCAGACCTCACCCATCATCCTGAGTCTCCCTGACAAAAGTTCCCGATACCAAACTCCTCACTGTCAGGTTCTCAGCAGCGGCCATGAGAGGGGCAAGGGGAAGATGTGAAGAGACTCCACAGCATTTTTACACCTTTCTAGTGAGGCATATATGTCAAGAACACACATTTATTTATTTATTATATTTACATCCCACCTTTCTTTCTTCCAAGGAACTCAGAGAGACTTACACAATTCTCCTCCTCCTTCCAATCTACCACCCTGTCAGGTACATTAGCTGAGAAACTATGACTGGCCCAATGATGTGAGGGGCAGGGGCGGGGGAGAAAGGGCAACACATCCACAGCAGACTAAGCAAATTATAATTTGCTTGAACTAGGTCCTAGCTTGTTCAGCACATCATAGGTAAAGTAACTAGTCTTTATGTTATATTTTAAATGCTCTTAACATCTTACTTTTCCTGTGCTGTCGCACATGCCCTGCCAAGTCTTTTTGAAGGAGGAAAAAACCCCAGTGGAACTGACTGCTCGAGAACTTTTTTAAAAACAGAAAAAACATCTATGAGGGAAGGAGAGAAACCATCACTGCATAGCATCTCAACCAAAGGGGGAAAAAAGGACAAAGGGGGAAAAAAGGAAAAAGATAAACGTACATTAAACAACTCAAAGACAGCACAATTAACAAATGCCATCACCCATAAATTTTATCAGGCTCTTCAAGGGGAATGGCATCATCCTCCAAAAAAATTACAAGGAGAGGAAAGGCTTGCCAATTGCAAACATTCCCAAGCTGGCCTACTAGGCTATCAGGAAAGAAGTCAGGTGCCTATGGAAGAAAAATGCCTAAGTACACTATAGAAGTCTGTATTAGACAACATCTCAGAGGAAAAGAGCATCCCATTGGGATGAAGGAAAGGGGCATCTCCATTGGGACTTTACACTATTTCTGTTTAACATCACAACCCCTCCACTACCACCGCAGCCAAACACACTGTATTTCAGATAGTCTTTCCTAGCCACTTTAACATTCACATGAAAATTGGAGAAGGCGAGAAGAGACGCTTTGGGGGAATCTGGTGAATGACTCTGCACAGTGTGGAAACAGATGGCAAAGTACTGAGAACTAAAGCAAGGTATGGAATATGCTGAGTTTCCTCACTGGGCTTTAACAAGCTACTGAAGTTATAAGGGAAAGAAAGCAGACAACAGGCAAAAAGTGAGATGTTCATGTGTCACTGTGGCAGAAACGTCCAAACATATCTTAGCAATGGACCTAAAAACAAAATAGAGTTTTAGAAGGGCTTCAGAAAAATAGCTGTAAAGCAGGCTTGATGAGCAGAACATAGATCTCCAGAAGTCAAGACTTCCAACTCCCTGAATTCTTGATAATCACCCATGCCACCTGGTGCTTCTAGGAGGTTCTTATATGTATATTTACAGCATTATAATCCTACTGTTCAGTTAAAAAGGGCTTCAGGTTATCTGGAGAGCTACATTCTTTCCCACCTCTAATCTAAAGGACAAGGGAAAGAATATTATTAATTGGATTTGCCAATGCCTGTGGGAAAGAGAAAGAAAGATCATAAGGGGGGAGCTCCTGAAAAGGAACTAAGGTGTAAAAATAACAGGTTAAGTGTGTTAAGACATGTGAAAAAGATGGAGCTGGATGGCTGTACCACATTAGGGACTCAGGTGAACATTACTGGACTTTTAAGCTCTGAGTCCAGGTGGAGGAGTAGGTATTCTTCTTTCCCTAGCCAGTATAACTAATAATAATACCTCAATTGGAAATGGAAATGCAGGAAGACTTTGAATCAGTCCCTTTGCCACAGTCAGTTCATTGCCTGCTGAAGTTTAACATACAAGAGCTTTCCTTCTCTGCAACACTGAGGAACCTATTAAAATAGTCCACCCAAAGGATAATAGAGCCAAATGGATTTCAGAGGCCTCTGAGGTGGTTTCTGGCTGAGATGTTTGATTTTCCTGTGGACTACAGAAATGCCTCTGAGAGTTAACAATTAATCTTGAGTGCCCTCTCCAGAGGAGAACTTATACTGTTTTGTGGGTTTTTTTCCAAGACTAAAAGGAATGAAACAAAACAGAAGACAATGGTGGATGGGAAAAGTCTCCTAGTCAGGGCAATCAAACATTGGTGTGTGCCTATGGTCAAAAATATTTATAGGTAGTGACACCAGCAAAGAAACACTACCTTGCTGCTTTTATTGAATCCTTTATGTGCCACCTACTAGCGTTTTTAAAGTTGTCTGGGGCTTATTACATACTGGCCCTAAGGACACAGTTGGACTCTCTGAGACCTAGGCACTTCTTGGATAAAATCTCTTAGATCTGCCAGGAATTAGACTCTAGATGAATCTAATGAGATACTCAGAGTACAGCCATATCCAGTTTCTTGTAAGTCTTTCAACTGATACTGTTCAAGGACATTGATAGGTCTTTGGGAAAGGTCTTTGTGTGACTACCTCTGTTTGGGATCCTTGTCCCTCTTGGCTTATAAAAGTGGCAGAAAAAGAAAGCCAGCTGGACTGGGGAGGTGATTAATGCCTCCTTGTGAGAGGGAGTGGGCCTGAATTGCCTGAAAGACACTGGTGAAACTATTCCTGAAGAAATCATTCCTGAACTTGGAAAACCTTAATAACCTTAGGAAGCTGGCAAATGTCCCTTTCCTGAGTAAGGTCCTTGGGTGGATGCTTGCAACCAACTCCAGACACTCTTGGAACTAGCTAGTAACCACTTGCCCCTATTTCCTGGATCTGGGTTAGGGTTCAGGCCATTTTTTGACATGAAAACCTGCTTGATTGTCCTATATCAGGACATAGGCAAGGGGAGTGTGACCTTGCTGATCCTCTTTGATTACTCACTGGCTTTTGATACTACCAACCACAGAATCTTCCTGGGACAACTGTCTGAGTGGGAGTGGTACTAGATTGCAGCAGTTTCATTTCTACTTGGATGGACAGCTCCAAATTATGGTGCTTGGGGAATACTGGCCAGCCCCATGGTTTCTCTGCAGAAGTCGATTTTCTCCCCCATGTTATACAACATCTGCATAAATCATTTTGTGGAGCCATCCAGCATTTTGGAGTGTGTTGCCATCAGTGGCATGCAGTTCTATTTCAACAAGTGAAATAGATGGCTAAACTGGCCCCTCAGTCTTGCAATGGATGGATGGCTAAACAAACCGAAACACAATATAAACAAGACTAAGTTGTTAATTTTGGTCCTCCTGACAAGATAAAGGGTGCTCAACCTGTTCTGAATGGGGTTATACTCCCCCCGTGAAAAAGCAGGTTCATACCTTGGGGTGGGGGGTTGTCTGGAGCCACTTTTATCATTTGAAGCTCAGGTAGCCTCACTGGCAAAGAGTGCATTCTACCAACTTTGGCTGGTGGCACTATCTGGACAGGGATAACCCAGCTTCCGTTATCTATGCTCTGGTGACCTCCAAGTTAGGTTATTGCAATGTTCTCTATGCAGGACTGCCTTGGAAGACTGTTCAGAAGTTGCAGCTAGAACAGATTGTTGCAGCTAGACTGATTAACAGGGACGAGAAGGTCCAAACATAGAAGACCAATCTGGCTGGCTTGCAACGGCTGCCTGTATGCTTTCAAGCCAGATTCAGGATGCTTGTCTTGACCTATAGAGCCCTACATGGTTTAGCACCACACTATAGTATGGAGCACCTCTTCTGGCATGAACTTGTCTATGCACTAGACTCATAGTCAAAGGCCCTCCTCCAGAGCCTCCTCCAAGGGAGGTTTAGAAGCTGGTAACAAGGAAGAGAGCCTTCTTGGTGGTAGCACCCTAATTATGGAATGATCTCCCCTATATGGCCTATCTGTTGCCAACATTATTGCTTTTTCAGCATCTGGTAAGACCTCCTCTCAGACATTTGCCAGGACCTTCCCTCCTTCCTTCCAATTGATACATAGATCCTCTATGCACTGCCTACTTATATGTATACTTTTCATGTAAATAGTTGTATAATTTATTTTTATAATGTTAACCCCCACAGAGAGGTTTCATTACAGGGCAGTGTAGAAATGTAATAAATGGAATGAAAAGAAAATGAAAATATTTTGTAACACTTGTGGAAAATAAAGCTCAACACTGATCTATCAAGTTTTCTCTTCTTTGGTGGTTGTTGGGGGCAAGGGATACCATAAACTGATCTAGTTAAACAAGGGAAGTCCATCACTCTCAAAAGAAATAAATCCTTAACAGAATAGCCCAATTTTAAGACTGATCATTTCTGTAAGACATCATAAGTTTTCACATATGTTAAAAAAACCCCTCTCTTGTGAACTACAAATGAAGGATGATGTTTTTCTACTTTTGTAAAACAATTTTTCCATGTTTACAAAACTGAACAAACACATTTTTAAAAAATTGCTGCTTACTACTTTAACTCTCTTTTAAAAATAAAGTTTTGATAATACCAAAGTACTAGTATGATTTTGCACACACACAGAAAAACAAGCTCCATGTTTAACCTTGTCCCCATCCCACCCCCATCCTAATATCTTATAATACATAATTGAATCCAGATGTGGTGTAACTAGTTTTTGGCACCCTGCTGGTAGACTCAAATATCAGCTGACTAGTTGACAAAACTCAAGTTCAAACATTTCACAGCATACCAAAAAAGTGACTTCATGAATTATTATACAATGAATGAGTCTATCTTGCTCATGCAAGGAACCCAAGGTGGCTTTCAAGGTTTACCTCCTCTCCGTGTTTATCCTCACAACAACCACTTTGTAAGGTAGGTTAAGCTAAAAATCTGGGACTGGCCCAAAGCCAACCAGTGAGTTTCATGACTGAGTGGGGACTACAACCCAGACCTCCTGAATCCCAGTCCAGCACTTCCACTACATCACACCATTCTTCTTTAGCACATGAATGACACACACACACACACACACACATACACATATATGTGGTAACATATACCAATTCAGAAAAGGTTGGAGGAATTAATATAATTCCTTATGTTGCCCTTTTTTTACACCATTACACACAGACATCTTTCTCATAAACATGATCTATTTCAGATAGTTCTTCTTCCCAAAGCATGAAAGTGAAGGACCATTCAGATCCTTTGCAGGAAAGCCAATATGCCACCAGAATGGGCCTGGTTTATTCTACGTTCACCTTCTCATGTCTCCACACATCGTCCCATCTAGACATCCGTGTTCAGTACTCCCAACAGGAATTCTGCTTTGTTTTCCACTAATGGTGCTTTCACTATGTAGAAGACAATAATAGCTTCACGGAGGCTCTGTCTAACACTTCAAATCCAATCCCATCAACAGCAAACAGTCCCTTTAGATCCTAGAAATCCCAACTGTCTTCTCCTCTCAAAATATTCTTTAACACTGTATTCCAGCTGATGTTTGAGAAAAGGGACTTCACTCCCTCTAGACCCCCTGTCTCCCTCACCCATCCTTGCCTTGTCCTGCTTCTTCCATACCATTTTCCAGCCCAGCTAGTACTTATTGGAACCTGCAGATCTCTAATCAAGATTTAAATAAAAGCACAGAATAATTAGGTTCAGAAGTCTGCAGTATTATCAATTCTATATAACCTTGCTTGCAGCAAAGTAACAGCAAACATTTATTTATTTATAAGCTCATACTTTATATTTCTTTCCTCTTAAAGTACATAGTCCTTTGTCTTAAAGAAATAGCTACTACTGAATTGCTGCACTGAACCCTCATGCCAATTAAGATACTTAGGGGTGAAAAAATGGAGCCCTTAGTTGATTAAAACTACCTAATAAAATATCTACAATTTTGGTTAACATAAAAGTATTTCTAAATATATGTATTTCTAGCCATTCCAGAATACACATATTAATTTCTGACTCAC